AACAATTATAGATTACAATTATTAATTCGAAACTACATGTAGATACTTGTTCATTACTTAATTAATTGAGAGCAATTGTACCGTAGGTATAACTGCATATTCGGATATCCATATTCTCTTAGCATTTGATATCAACAATGCTTGGGACATTGTAAAATTGCATGACCGCAACCACGTCACTAATTTCTGAGCACATTTATCATTCTCAAACCTGCAAAATTTTCAAATACATATTCGTAAGGGTATGAAATATTATTAATAATTTAATATTTTGGTATTTGTAAAACTTACCAACTGTGTAGGTATTGTATATAATATAATACATTTAAATATTTTTATATAAATATATAAATATATTTATTTATAAATATTGATAATTGTATTATAAATGCATAAATGTATATTTATATTAAAATATGTAATTTATAATTTATAATTTATAATTTATAATTTATACATTTATATAATATTCATTTTTAATTTATACATTTATAATAATATACATTTATACATTTATAAATATATTTATATTATGTATTGTATATAATATAATACATTTATATATTTTTATATAAATATAGTTATTTATAAATGTATTATAAATGCATAAATGTATGTAAATATAAAAATATATAAATTATAAATTATAAAAATACTCAAAAATATGTTTTAAAAATACCTCTAAAAATAATCCAAAAAATTTCTACTGTAAAAGTTTTTCATATAGTTTTTAAAAAACAACTAATCCAAACAGACTTGTATTTCAAAAACGAAATGCTATAATGTTGTTTTTGAAAAACAACCCCAAAAACAGCTAATCCAAACGGACCCGTATGTAATTTAACATTTAGAATAGTAAAATATATTTTTTATTATGTTAATTATAAAACCAAACAAATTGTCAATTTTGGTAGTAAAAATGACAATATCTTTATGTGAACCTTTGATATTAGATAACATTGTAGTGATTCTATTCATTATGATTGACTACTGCATATGCAATAATAGGTTTTAGTACTATTTCGTAACATGTAACATATTAACAAAGCAATTGGGGAGCTTTCGGTAGGATTTATTAAAGTGCTTATAAGCAATTGGTACTCTTTCCACATTCTTATTAACAATGAAAACAACAATAATATTATAATATTCGGAATTGTATTAATACTTAGAAGTACAATAAAAATGCCAAATTTTAAAGAATACATAATACCGAAATTTCTAACTTGATTCTTATAAACAATCAAAACAACAATAATAATATAATATTGAGAATATTATTAATAATTGAAATAACAATGGAAACACCAATATTTAAAGAATAAGTACCGTAACTTCTAACTTGATTCTTATAAACAATGGAAACAACAATAATATTATAATATTGGGAATATTATTAATAATTGCAATTATAATGAAAATGGCAATATGTAAAGAATAGATAATACCGACTTGGTTCTTATAAACAATGAAAACAATAATAATATTATAATATTAGAAATATTATTAATAATTCTAAATATAATGAAAATACCACTGTTTAAAGAATAAATAGTGGCGAAACTTCTAACTTGATTCTTATAAACAATGGAAACCATGTCATTCTGGATTGTGCCCGTGCAGATGTGACATGAATTTTGACATTTTTTTAGCACCTCATTCCTACCATAAGTAAGATTTCTAAAAGATGCTTCGGATGGGCAGATGCTCTTCGTCCAAAAATCGGTTGTATGGGAAGCTATTGGTTCTTGATGATTGTAATATGCTCATTTACCTATAGCCCTGAACTGTACATTGTAGATTACTAATGAAACTTGGACATAGTTGCATGACTGTCAACCGAATTCCCAGCTTTTAAGTTTTCAAGTAATATTGACTCTTTATTACACGGTGAAGCGTCCTTTCTTGCTCCAGGCACAAACGGGGTAATGCCAATTGGTAGTTCTCTTAATCTGCCAATTGGCTCAAGTATACTTTACTGGCTCAATCCTACTCCAGTTTTCACTCGGCTGCACAATAACTCAACAAACACAAATCAGATTACCAACCTTCTGATCAAGAGTCGTCCTATTCCTATTTCTTAAGCCCTCTTGTTATCAAGTATCATATTTAAGAATTACCTGGTCCATGAAATGGATTAGGAAAGCCTAGAGAACCCGAATTAGTCATGTCATACCATAACTGGCTTAGAACGTTCCTAAACCCAACAACTAAGTGTTCCCCCCGATCAGTCACGAAAGATTAAGCATTTTGCAATAAACCCAAACGATTTACAATTTACGTAAACCCAAACGATTTACAATTTACGTAGGAATTTGCACAGAAGAACAGGAGCACTCCCGTGCCATGTTCGACGCAATCTACCCCACCGCGCCTCTTGTAATTCAACACAAAATTATCCTTGCTTGCGAAAAGCTCACATCGAGTAAAGTAAGAAGTTTTATGAACAGCAAATGACGATATTTAAGGGCATATATGAAAGGACATAGTAAAAGTTCCATTATCAACAATGGAAACACCTTTTATAAATATTAGTATGGGTTTCTGCACAATGTTGAATTTGAAAGAATAATCAATTATGGATTTTGAAGGTTTTCCCTAATCAGTAACGTTTTTGAAGGTTCTGAAAGAATAATCAATAACGTTTTCCCTAATCAAAGCTATGACCATGTTCCGGTACTAATCTGATTAATTACTAATACAATGAGAACTATATGTCTAAATGCCTAAACTCACATAAAAGCCATAGTACCATACTTTGTTGATTGAGCCGGCAAGGATTAGTATAGAAACAACAATAATATTATAATATTGAGAATATTATTAATAATTGAAAATACAATGAAAATATCAAGATTAAAAGAATAAATAGTACCGAAACTTCTAATTTGTTTGGCTCGGCGTTTGAGTCGGTTTAGTCGAGATTTTATCCATCGTAGTTGATGTGAGATTTCTCTTTCGCTGACGCAAAGTTGTTGGAACTGTTCCAATTCTTGTGTGGGACCGTTGTGGCGTCCTTTTCGTTTTGTTAGCAGATGTTTCCTCCTTTGCAATCTTGCGAGTTTGAAATTTAGGCATTGCTGACATGCTTGTAAATGGCCATGTTCCATTGTGAAGTTAATTTGAGAGGGTCAAGAAGGAAGTTGATAGGAAGGGTTTTAATTATAGTGGAAAGGGGGATGTGGAGTGAAATTGTAAGAGTAATTCCCAAAAGTAGTACCAAGTATATTGTTGCTCCGTGGGAGTTGGAAAAGATCACAACCATTAGTAGTGGAAAGAGTTTTAATGTAAGTGGAAGTTACATTTTTGTGTGAGGGAACGTAGGAGTGTTAGAGTAATGTAAGTGGAAGTTAAATTTTTGGTTGAGAGAGTTGAGAGTGGGAAGGGTTGTGAAGGCTTGTTGCTAAAAATCCCTTCTCAAATTTATATAGATATAGATTCCTAATAATAACACATAGTGCACTCTAAAAGGTGGGGTGATCCCAGTGATTTAGATCCCGTGTAGATTGCTATTTTTAAATTTTTTTTAAAATTATACTGTACCAATTTGATTCATGTGAAATAAAAAAAGTGATTGAAAATATATTTATAAAAAACATAAATATTATTATGCAAAAAATCACAATCCAAACAAAGCCTTAATCTTCAACCTTTCACTATTGAATGAATACACCTTACCTTAGTCCACTCCAAGAGTTTGGTCATTGGATCGATTCCAGTGATTTATTCTTCAGCCTTTGACTAGTGAATAAATAGGCCTTGGTCAGTATGGCTCTCTAGAGAAATTAATCAAGTAATATGAGACTTTTAATTCGATTCTTTGATTATTCCCTTTTTTTTGTCATTCCGTAAACTTAAAATTTCTATTTTGACTAAAAAAGAATAAGTATGGAACCTTGTTGAATTTAACTCTTAAATAACTTCTATATTTTGTTTAACTGTGTCGGAAACTAAGAAAGAAAAATCTTTATGCCAAACAATTCGTATAGATTGGTAACTTCGCATGCGACCGAGTAACTGCAATGGTACATTTCCGTTAAATTGAAGTGCGATACAACTAATAGCAAATTATTGGGGAATATCTCCCAATGGAGTAGCGTTCTTATTTCTTTAATCAAAGGCAACGAAAAATAAAGAAAAGTTATGGAAGGATTGGGACAAAAGAGCTGCATGTATTCGCTTAAGTGGGTCTCATTTGTTCCATCTTGTAGGTCAATAAAAGCATGAATGTAAAATAGGAAAAAAGAAATGGATTAGTAATCGGCAAACCAAAGCGAATAATTTATCAATATAGGTTTGATAGTGATCATCAAATACCAAATATATATTTGATTTGAGAAACTTCAAAACTCATTTGTAAACTCAAAACTTGAGAACCGAACACGGTGTTAAAACTTAACAGAGCGCTTTCGTTGACTCGAACTAGAGATGGTAACCGAACGAGTGCCCGCCCTCCTAAAAAAGTATTTAGCACAAACATGTTACGCGTTTTATGAGTATTCCCAAATATTATCTATACAATCCAATTGAGTTTCTTAATTTTTTTGGTGTTTTATTTCAACACTTTTCTTGTTTCATTTTTCATTTTTCACTTTTTCATTTTCGTATTTTATTTTATTCTTTGAATATAGTTTTGATCTATTGAATAGAAGTTTCTAAAAAAAATTAAATTATCACTCGTAGAGAGAACGGGGCAAGGGGTGGAAGGAACAGAGGCGGGAGACAGGGCGGGGACGGGGGAAGGGGAGTTTTTTGGCAACCGGGTGAGGGGACGGGGAAGGAATCCCCCGCTTCAAACCCGTCTCGTTACCATCCCTAACCTAAACTTCATTTTTTTCATGCACTCCTTTACGTTAAGTATTTTGTTTTATTGGTACGACTATTTTGCTTTATTTTATTGCGCCAGAATCGATATATACTTAGAATGATAGGACTCACTGCAGACCGCATGGATGGAGAGTGGATAGAATACATAAAATAGCCAGGTGAAAAACTGCAGATGTTCAATTTTGTTTTAGTTCAGTGAATCATCTGACAAGGAAACTATTTCTAAAATACGAGTCTTCATTCACAACTGACCTGACGTATCGTCGTGTACAAGTTTGAAATGGCAATAATATTTTATTTTTTTTTTTTTACAAAGATTGCAGAGCCTCCGCATCAATTTCTATTTTTGAAGGAACAATAACGTGTTCCTATATCTATCCAGTAGTAATAAAAAGAATGTATAATACAGTTCTAATTAAAATGGCTAATACCCTGTGGACTTGTGAAAGTAATTCGGAACCTGGTAAAGATCCTTTGGAGTTTGAACCATTTTCTTGACCAATCGAGGCTGTGAAATGTTCAGGAACGGTTGCGTTCCAGCCTCAAATTCGGCGAATCCCTTTGCATCATCTGTTATTAATGCATCATGATGAGCTTGAATGGCCAGATGCCTATGGATTATCCGATCAAGTTCGCGCAAGTATGGTCGCAATTATATGCACAATCAATTTCCTTGCTGACCCTTCTTCCAAAGTACCAGTCTCCCACTGCCTCCGCTATGGTCTGGAAGAAACTGTCCAGTTAGAATTTTGGAATGTATGTTTCAGGCATCTGCTGATAGACCCACGCAGAGACAGAGAGGGAGGACTAAACCTGTGGTATGACTTAGTTGACCTGGACTGGAAAACGAGGTTATTGGGCAAAAGCTAATGTTAACTCAGGACCGACAACTCACGGAAAAAAGAAACTAAGAACTCCTATTGATAAAGGGGCCTCCTATGATCCTCGCGTTAAGTGGTCGAATGGTAAGTTAGCAACTGCCCAATACCTACTAGATGGCTTCAGGAAAAATTTATGAGTCTAATTTAAAAAAAAAAAAAAAAAAAAAAGGAGCCAAAGTAGCGGAGAAAGCATATAGCATACCTTATTGCTTAATCTTGGAGAATCAGCAGCAAACCATGTTTCTTGCGACTCGCTTTGACAATGAGCAAAGCAAGAATTTATGAACATCCCTCCTCTTCTGGAATACCGGTAGAAGAAACTCAATGCCAAAAGCATATCTTTTCTGAATCCTAAGAGACAGTCAAGCAGTCTGGTCAATATAAAGGAGGACACAAAAGGCTGAAGAAGCCGTACTAATTGTAATTATTGATCAATGGAATCTAAAATGCTATTGAACAGCAAATTAATTTGTCCAGACTTAGTGTGAGCTAAGATGCATCGGACAAAAGATAAACAGAAGCCAAACGTCATTACTTTCTGAAAGAATTTGCAGATGAAACAGAACCTTGCAAAATTCTTATTTGGGCTGCATTGCATGCTGCTGGGTTCAGCTTGCAGTGGTACCAATGTCCCTTGGGATCAGCAGAAGGTGGCACCAATATGTGATGAAACTGGCACAACCAACAATCTTACAGTTACCACCATGACTAAAAAATGTACAGGCAATGATCTCACTCCTGTTGTTCTACAATGAAAGCACAGACGAATGCATAAGATGATCTTACTTGGTATACATCATAGGCTGAATTTAGGACAAAAAATGGTGTTCTGATGTATTTTAATGCATATTGTGGGAAGAAGCACTGCAAAAGAGATATTATGTGCTTAGCTAAGTGCTTCAAAGTTATCCTTTTTCCAAAACCAAAAAGCAGTTTGGAGATCACACCTGTACTGGATAGTAACGAAAGCCTGTGCAACTTTTGTCCAAATTCTGTTCTACACCCTGAAAAGAAAGCATGTTAACATCATTATAATAGAAGTCCGCGTCCACGCAACATATAGGAGCAATATATATGATGTACTTCGCTGCTTTCCCACTAAGATATCAAATGAATTTTTTGTAAAAACATGGTGCTGCACTATAGCACAGTGAGTAAGAAAGCTACACGCTAGTTCCTCACACCGGAGAAACTTACATGTAAAGAGATCAAGCCTTCGTAGAAAGACCTCATAGAGTGGTTCAAACTGATGTCTCTCCTGCAAGAAAAGGCAGCGTCTGTAATAGGTTGACAAGGATGGGGAGACTAAAATACCCCTAAATTAAAAGAGAAGAGTTTACTCGTCCAAGAAAAATCCAGCATCACTTAAGCATTTAACGCTGGTATTCTTTGGCAGATAATTTGTTAAGTTATCACAATGCAGAAACGACGCCAAACCTCCAGCAGAGCAACCAGATAACAGTGCCTGGACAAAATTTCGGCAGTAGAAGCCAAAAAAAATTACAAATAACCCATAATTAAGATAAAATCCCAGTTCACAAAATCTAATACCATAATGCGTCTGGAGAACGCCGAATATCCAAATTGAAGATGCTCAAAGAACTGCTACATGATATTCAGATAGAAAATTACAAGTAGAATGCCAAACGACTGTTTAAATCGTCATGTCTTCCGTGACCATTGTAAAATAATGGTGGGTCCAAAATACCAGTCAGTCAATCTCATGTCAAAGAATTGCTTTATTCAGTTCTCAATAAAGCAGACGATATGACTTGATATGATGATAAATGAACAAGGTGACTAATTACCTTTCTTGCATGGCCCAATCCTTTTGGGAGAAGATCCTGAATAATCGCCCGCCAAATTCTTTGCCCTCTAAAATAAAGCAATGATGTCTGTTGTTCATTTCAAGTAAAAAATTCACTTTAAACGAAGGACAAGATAATTACACAATTTGGTCTCAAGACACCCTCTCAAGCAACAACGTACTAATTAATTGTAGACGCACCAAAGCCATAAAAAATCCATTAGAATATTGGGCGGAACTAGAATGATAATACATCGCCACAATGTAGTGCCCTATGTTTTCTGTGCAAGTTACTTATAACCTTAAAAATTGACGGAAACATGGCGTATGAATTCCGATAAAATTACAGAATTAGGCATGCAAATGATAGGGGCCTCACAAATACGGTTCCTTACTTCTCTAAAAGGATGTATGGCTCGCATACCGTTATTTCTCTAAAACGGTACTAGTATAATTTACATAAGAACAGGAACTATGGCTTACTCAACACATAAGCAAACGTTCTACATGGACTTAGTTACTCAGTCTCGTTTTGTTTTACAGAATTCTTTCCACTTACCAGCATTGCAGTTTTGCATTTACTTTTGACCGCAACTAGGGAGCAAGATAGCTAATTGAGACATTTAGATTCCCCGAGCAGTTATGAACTATGATCCAAATAGAAAAAGCAAAAAGGTTTTTATTTTAGCACATCCGAACCTGGCAACCATCCGAAATGGGCAACAATGAGGCTGTTTGGAGAGCAAATTATTTATACGAATTTATTTGTTTGTGTTGTAAATATATTTTTTATTTATCTTTTTATCTTATAAAAGTCACATCCAAAAATTATTATAATTTTTTTTAAAAAAATTATCTCAAATAGTCTCGTCAATGCTTGTTAAAGACAATAAATCTGACCAGCATTGGGGGAGCCAAGCAAGAATACAATAAAATCAGTAGAGTTCATCCTGAAAAGGCTGACAACTGAGATGGCTTTTAAATTGCGGCCCACAGAATTAAACAACACATTGTCCTTGAGCAATGCCAAAACTAATCTACATTAGTTCAACAAGCTTCCGAGAAAACTAGGATGGTTAGAATTTGGAGAGATAGATAACAAGAAAACTAGGATGAGCACAGAGGAACAGCAGCTCTACTTCAAAACACCCAGCAGCTAGGAATAGAATATGGAACAGTGAAGTTGAGAATTGGGACAACAAGAAAAATGGACAAGTCTAGCCTAGGCATTGGAATTATTTTGACACAAGGAAATCAAGAGCCAATGAGAGGATGGGCACTAAGAGAAAGCAGCTCAGGATCACAGTTGGTGGACGAGGCAGTTGCACTAAAACTGGCTATGTGTAAAGCCACCAACTTGCAACACAGGAATGTGCAATTCCAGGTGCAAAACCAGCAACTCCTCAACCATATTCGAGCACAAAAGGCACGGGACATCAGACTAGTTACTTTGGTGGAAGATATTGTTCAGTTAAGAGAATTGTTTCAATTGTTTCATATATGCTCATTTTGTCTAGTTAAAAATAATAAGAATCAATTAAGTTCTAAGCTTAGCAACTATGCCTTGGGCATCACTTTAGATGAGGAACTTTTGTTTTCTTAGTGGCAAAAACACTATTTGTAAAGTTAACTCGAGTCTTTGCTCGCAATTGTATATCTTTTGATTAGAAATACACTCAATTATCGTTTCGGAAAAAAAAATGCCAAAACTAATCTACATTAGTTCAACAAGCTTCCGAGAAAAAGGCAAAAGTAAAGAAACGATCTAACCAGAGATGACCAGAATTGCGGAAGTTTACCAGCAACAATGAGCTATAAAACACAGCAAAATTAGTGGTATACAAGTGGCTCACCCCGTTGTCAAACTTAGCATCTCCGGCAAACGAGGCTCCATCACAGTATCTGAGTTTAACTCGGTTCCAATTGTAAAAATCTACAAGGTATCGTCAGTTCATGAAGATTAAGTCAACCAGTCAATGATGACTTTAAATTCATTCATTCAAAATAACAAAAAGTAAGGAATTAAAATCTTTGTTTTTTTGGGAATAATTTAATTAGAATTTGTTTAGCTTGCAAGATTAAGCAGTTGGAATTGTTGTAGATAATCAGATTAGAATGTGCATAGTTTGCAGATTCATTTCAAGCATTCAGTTGAACCATAATCGATAATGTCCTGATCTTTTCATTGGTGGAGTAATTCCACTGAAGGATTGGGAACAAGGGTCAAGCTCTCGGGATCTGAGGGTCCATGATTATGCACCAATAAGGGCCCGGCACTCAATCTAGGGCTGCGGTTGCAGAGGAAGGAGGGAGAAAAGGAGATCAACTCTGTAGTTTGCACCTTCGTTGAGAATCTCACTCACAACAACCGACAAACAAAGGAAAGGGGTCATGCGGTAGGGGCCTAGGGGCACTAGCAGTCAAAGCTGGAAATGGGATTAAAAAACAGCGCAGCAGCAGCTGTCAAGCCACTACAACGGGTCACGTGATAGAGAATAGAGACAAGAATGAATAATGGGATTTGGCATGCAAATTGCACTACGGACATCTGCAGTCACCATTGTCCCGCTAGGGTAGACGAATGGGTTCCTAATTTCCTTGTAAATTTAGAAATTCCAATCAGCGAACTGATAATGGAATGAAAGTGATTGGACGAGTTGAGGCGCATACCAGGGTTTAAAGAGGCGTTGTTGCTTAGAATGCCGGAGAAGACCTCCAACTTGTTCATGAAACGTGTTGAACCTCGATGAGTTTTGGCTCTCTCCAAACATGATGGTATATCATTGCACCATCCACCACCCTGGGCTCAATTTAGACCAGAAATTTTGAAACTTGTCAGAATTCTATGGCTTGGATTTTTTTTTTTTTTTTTTTTTATGCTCTTTAGTGTCACACTTCCTCTTACATAGCAATGGCATGTATTTCCCATTCAATAACCACTAATGGCCGATTACATTATAATCAAAATTTTTAAATTTTTTTTTATTTCGTAAATGTTAAAGTACAAAAAGTGATTCAGTGTTACTTTAAAAAAAAAAAATCATGTAATCTTGCATGTATCCAAACAAACTTACGTACGTGACATGAAAAAAGCCACAAGAAGCTCAATATGAGCCGTAAGAAGTACAAGCACGGTTCTCCGCTACTTGTGGCAAGTCTCATTTATTTAATAAACGAATTATTTAGACTAAATCCCCGAGCCATTTTAAGAGAAACAAGAAGAGACAAAGAAAAAATTTTTGAGAAGAAAAGACAACAAAGGATGGTGGGTTGACAATAATGCCAGTTTATCATCTTTTATTTACTCCCAGAATTATTATTATTACTACTTTTTTTTTTTGGACCTTTTCTTACCACAAATGTCACATCCGGCCGTCCTTACCGAATTATAAACATCACACGCTAATGCACCAAAATGTTTACGCATGGGCATTATTGATTTGACTTCAATATTTGCTAAATTCTTATTGGCCCAAATCCTCGAACATGCATTGTGCTACTGAATTGAATTGAGGTGGAATCAAGCATTGCTAGGTTGAAGAATAAACAGAGGTTGGCGGTATATTCGTTCAACGTTAGAAAGAAAAGAACAAAGAAACGGTACAAATAGCACTAGAAAGGGAATGCAAAAGTATAAAGGAAAGGATAGCCAAAAACAGCACCAAAATATAAACTTTTTCGCGGGTGCAGAATCTTTTTCGGCCTTTCATCCGCCGCAAAAGTCAAGAGAGAGAACCACTTACCTCGAACTGCAGAAGCCAATTGCGTGCCCCTGCTCCGAATCCTCTGTCCAGATGATAAGCCGGCAAGCTTCCGTCCAAGCAATCTACGAATAGGTAAAGTGCCCGCCAAAATTAAAATATACTACTACTATACATAAATAAATAAAATGGCTTTATAAAAAAGGGCGTACAGGCTCCAAGAACCGAAGCGTTTCGAACAAGAGTCATGTTCACCAAAGTCCGGTTGTCCCCGTTTTGCGAGTATACCCACCATGGCGCGCATGATAGCGCCATAAAGCAGCCGATTACGAGCTGAGTCGGCAGCATATTTTGGTTCATTATCTCCTTCGTTCTTCCCTGTGCTTTTAACCGGAGTCACAATGAAATACTATATACTATAGACACGGATGTATTCGTTCATTCGCTAACAAAGAGACAGAGTTGGTCAATCAATTAATACTATATGAATAACGGATCAGATTGATGACCAGTCCGGCCCCCAGACTCCTTTTTATATCCCCGGCGGAAGACTGGAGAGACCAGAGAGTGGGAGAAAACGAGAAACGTACCGATGTTACCCCGAATTAATTGATAACTTAAGTGCAAAGTGGTGGACGTTTCATTGAACAAATTCTCATCCAAGTTGGGAAGGGGGAAAAAAACTTGAAAGATGAATTATTGCGAAATTTAATATTGGAATACTGAATAAGCTAAAACGGATGGAGGCAAAACTAGAATTCTGGGAAAAAGAAAAAACAATCGAGTCAGAAACGGGAGGGAGACGAGAAACCTGAGCCTGAGACGAAAGCCAAAAGTGATGTGATATACATAAATAGTAGTACTACAAGAAGAAAGCCACAAATGGAAGGGAGGAGAGCTGCGTCCTTGTGAACGGAGGGAAGGAGGCTGAAGAAGGAAAGTGAAGAGGGTAATCGAACAGGACGGGGAGCTAATGGAGTTGTACCCCTTTTATGGAGTCAATAGGAGGTTTATCATTGGTGGAATGAAAATAGGTATGAAATACGTAGTTTAATAAATGGATAGTACCCCTGCTAGTAATAGTGTAATACTACATGAGCGTGGTTCCCAAGTGCAGTGCGGGAATGTTGGATAACGATTAAGGATGAACACAGCGATTGCAAAGCCCGGGGGCCAATAGCCCATTGGGTTTCTCTCCTCAATTGTGGGACCCCTCCGAAGACAGATCTCTTAGATAATTGGTGGACCATGGTCCATGACTGCTGCGGCTGACGGTCTGTGTAAGTACTCAGATCGTAGATGCAAATGCAAGTCATTTGAACTACACAATCCATAGTGCGTGTGAGCTCTGAGTGCTTAGGTTTGTCCCACATCGAACTTGGGAGGGGGATTTGGGTAGTTTATTAGGCTCCTCAGGAACCACAAAAGTTGCCGGCTTTTGTGGTTTCCTGTGGATTAAGTTTAGTAAAATGCAAAAGTCATTCTGCTGACTAGAAAAAAAAAAAAGAACTACACAATCCAAAATTATGCTGTACCAGACCCCATGCTAGCCGCACGATTGTATATTGTGACCGGTCATCAGTGAGTAGATCATTACACTAATGAATTAACGTTTGCGAGTGTGTTTTAAAAAAAGAAAAAAACTATACCCTCAATTCATTGTTCTCAAAAAATGATAGTTACCAGTTCTTTGAATTGAATGATTTAAATCGTTACTATCTAAAGTTCAAAATTACTTATTTCACTGTACAAGTGAATTTAACTTGAGAATATGATGCCAAAAGGTACAATAGAATCTCACGACAATGTATTTAGTAAATAATAGTACTTTGTTTATGTAGTAGTGAGTTTTTTTTTTACACCCTGTCGTCAATATACAAATTTTTCTACATTAATATGAATTTAAATCATGCGCATGTGACTGAATGACATACATTAATCACTACATTATCGACCGAAGTACAAAAAGGTTAATACTTATTTTACGTGATATGTACATCTTGCATCATTCTGATGAACGACACAACTCGTTTGGTGGCCGATGAATATGCAATTGACTTTCACAGTCTCACTTGCTTTTCGTTTGGTGGCTGGCCGCCGAGCGTTTTTGACGATCGTTGGCTTGGGGCAAAGACGCAGGAGAATTAAGAGTGGGAAATGGTCCGTGGTTGATGATGGGGACTTGTGAGGATTGAAGAGTCTGCATCATTTGAGGTTATAATTTTTAAACATAAAATTCTCATTGATCAGCCCGATGGACGTCGTGAGCTACTTCCTAGTTCTGGCATTACACGAGAGTAGGTTGCATCATTCATCCAAGCAAGCTTTACTCAATCATTCGCGAAGCGAGCAAGGGCGAGGCGTTTTCGCGAGCTGCCTTTTTTTTTTTTTTTTTTTTTTTTTGGAGGTTCCGCTTTTAGTTAAAGAGTTTGTTACGCCAAATTTGTTTCTTGCGATGTAAGGAAAAGAACCGAAAATCTTTCTTCATTGATGGAAGATAAATGATGATGTTGCGACAGTTATGATTCTTTGCAAAAACTGGTAAGACTACAAAAATTTGAATTCCGGCATTAACATCAACCATCATATATAATTAATGCATAGGCCATTCCTTCCCCCTGAACCGCTTGCTAAATGACGAAATCATAAAGCCCTGAAAAAGACCAAAACATGCACTACTACCTCAATTTGAACAGACAAATTATATAATTATCAAATCATAAAACCTGATCAGACCAAAACGTACAATATACGTGCCTTTCTAAATGAAGTTTTTCCTTACCCAAAGAATAAACAACAAATTTCAGATAAATTAATTAACACGCCATCACCTTGCGTGTGCATAACGTGCCGCATCAAGTAGTAATAATTAAGGATGTAGAGATTGAATCTATGGCTTAAATGAAAAAATAAAGATACACCAACCTTTGTGTAGGCCATCAGGGAAAAAAAATTTTGAATAAAATTTCAGTTTTTTTTTCGTCATCTTTTTTTTTTTTTTTTTGGCTTTACCTCCCAATCCTCCTCACACCCTTCTCAACCCTAACTGCCGGACAAAATTTCAGTTGCTTTTCATCATAGAAATGAACTGAAGGGGAAAAAAAATCCTATAAGCCACGAGCAAATTGTTATTTCATACCGTGGAAAAAACAAGAAAGGCAGATTGAGATATCGAAAGCGAACAAAGCGTCAACTTATCGGGCTTGTTCTCGTTTGCTGTAAATTTTGTAAAAGTTGATTATGAAAGATAAATCAGCTGAAGTTATTATTAGGTAGATCCCGTGTTTTAGATTTTTCCCTATTAGAAATTCGAAACAGATGGAAGGATAAACGAAAGAAAACTAGTTGTCTAAAAGCATAATCTAAAACTACGTGAAATAATCAAACAAGGGCAGCCACATTCTTTAGCGTGGATAAAATGCATAATTATTATGCAAAGTGAATTGAGAAAGTAGTAAATTTTTCCTCAAAAAAAAAAAGGTAAATAGTAAATGTGATATAAAATAAGTGAAGATAGTGGGGCAACATCGGCCATCGGATCAAGGGCCCAAGCACAGCCCAAGGGAACGTGCGCATGCATCATTAGTTGTTTTCCAGTAGGCCTAGTGGTAATATGTTAGGCCCGAGACTCGACCGAAATAGGCGTAAAATTTTGTACTGTATTTTTTATTTTCTTTTTTTTCACCTTAAAAAAATGGAGGATTCTATTTCAGGCTTTCAGCAAGGCATATTAGCCTTAAAGGCTCTCATTAGATACAGGTCATGAGATCGAATCCCTTGACATGTATTTATTTACAGAATTTTTTGGAAGATTCACCAACGGGTGCAAAGGCATCGATTTCGTCCGATGGTAGTTCAATCCCCTCCGAATTCTCGCTCTACCCATTTGGACACCCTCTCTCAAAGCAAGACATATTAGCTCAAAGGTGACAAAATGGACCAACGCCGCTTTTTGCCGGTTCACATTGAGTTTATGACGACTGTCGAGTGTATATTTTGATGAGTCGCTCGTGTAGATTATCAAGTTCGCTCATCAACAAATCATTTTATGAGCAAAAATACAAGCTTACTATATATCAAGTACGGGTGCGTTGTAAAGCCGGCCAATTACATTGCGTCACATGTCTCTTCTCTTTTGCTCCGATAAGCTGATTGGACAATGAGTTGGAGCTTTTCCTTTAAATATCCTTTCCAATCTCCCACATGAAGTAATTTTAAACATTCTAGGCTTTTTCTGTAAAATTGAGAAATAACTCGTAACTAATTTGAGTGTCAGACTGATCCTAAGGATATATTGTAGGGACTCTTCTCAATTATGTTTTTTAGGATTTCGTCAAGCATACAGTACAATAAGTCGACTCAAACAAAAAGAGTTCGACTCATCCCAAAACTCAGCTCGACTATTCCCAAGAGCTCAGCTTGTTTGGCCATCTAAATAGTTCAGCTTGTTAAAATTCTAATTTTATAATTAGCGTTATAAAAACTCTCCTTTGAATAAAAAACAATAAAATTTTATGAGCATACTGAAGAAGCGCTGAGCTTCTCCGGACCGAGCTGACCTGATGAGCTCGGCGTGCTGACGAGAAGCACGTACTCCTACCCTGCAAAACAAACAAGAAGAGATCCCTTGGGTGACTGACAGGGGAGCCCCGAGGTGGTCCCCGAGGGCACTCCGACGGTCAAGTTAGTTTTCCGGTGAGGGAAATTTATTGAGAGTAAAATAGTTGGGAATGTTTTGCCAATAGTGGGCGTACCTTGTGCAGTGGATGTGCGTTACCATTTATACATGTTGGCAAGTCCGACCTCCGTACGTTTTGGGACCTGCCCAAAATAGTCTCAATCCCGCGCTGAGGGAGATCTTTCCCGCCCTCTGCGAGATTGTTCTTTGAAACCATTCGGAGTCCTAGCGGCGGTGTGCCTCAAGATGGCTGCCATGGGCCTGAGGTCCAGCCCAACTCTGGCCTTCCTGGGATACCACGTATCTCGACCCAGGACGGGGCCTCTGCACATACCACCCAAACGCAAGACTTCATTACATGATGACAAAATATGAAGAGCTTGTGAGCCCATGACAAGCTAACGAAGAATAAGGGCTCGTCACTCTATGATGAGTTTAACATCCAATATGAGCTCTTAACTCCATCACGAGTTCAGTATTCAAGAAGAGCTCATCACCCTTTGACGAGCTTAATGCCTGAAAAAACTCACCACCTCGATGATGAAGTTAATATATATGATTAATTATAATTTATCTATATAAACTATACCCTAATTTTCACTTTGCTTTCCACCCTAATCCTGTATTACTTAATTCTCTGAAAAACAAAAATATCCCTCTACTATGCTTAATATTTATCTTTAAATTATCTTCTCCATTTTTTTGATGAAATTTAACATGTGTTTAATCTTGAACATTGTAATTGATGGTGATGACGTTTTATATGAGAGGAGTATATTTATTATTATTTATTTTTTTTAAAATGATAAAGAAAAGGTCCCAATAAGATAAAACTATCATACAAAAAGAAGTCAAAATGACATGTGATTGAATGATTGTAAAAGATTAGACAATTGATTTTGAATTATTTATTTATAACAAAATATAATACAAACACTTCTTTAATTTCTTATGGAGAATAGATGAAATTGATTTTTAATTAACTAATTATAAGAAAAATAACATAGTTTTTTCAATTTTATAAATTAGCAACTAGACATTTTAAATTTTTGGTAAGAGAAAATTTTTATTTGCTCATAAAAAATTGAAAACATAAGACTAATTTGGAGAAAAAAAGAAGAGGGAAGAAAGAAAAAAAAAAACTAGCATAATAGAGGGGTAACTTTGTCTTTGCACGAGTTTAAGTGGCACAGAAAAAGGTTAAGAAGTAAATTGAACATTAGAGTATATGATAAGATAATAAATTATAGTTAACCCTAATATATATTGGCCAACTGGGTCAACTCTGTCTATTATTTGGAACCGATACATAATACCATAGAAATCTCAGGAATGGAAATGCAATATCAACCATTTTTCCAACAACTTACTTTCACTTATTTATTGATTTTTTGGGTAATGATAATATTTGTATAATATAATCTATCTTATTCCATAGGGAAGGATAGTTTAAAAAATCTATGTAAGAGATTAGTAAATATACAGATCTGATTAGATCGAAGGGGTGCTCTGTAAGCCTGTCAATCAGACCATTTGAGTCGGGCTTTCATAAACTCCGATTCAGTTCATTTTATTTATAACATTTTCGAATTTCGTACCATGAGTTTCAAATTAATAAATATGAAAATCATACTCAACTCATAAAATATTCAAATTTTGAGTCTTATTCAAGTTTAGCCTAAATTTATTTGTTACTTCTCAATTTTCTTAATATAATTATTATAACTATGAAGTTGTAAAACTAATTTAATATTCATAGAACTACAACATTAAAACTAAATATGAATAAATGATAGTTCTTAAAAAGTATATAAACTAAGAAATTTTCAACAATATTTATATTTAATTCATTCAAAGTACATAAAAATAGTAATAAAATATATTGTCATAAACCAATACATATTTAGAGGTTGAAATTTCTTCATAACCTTATGATTTGAATCTAAATATATTTGACGATTTGTATTAATGTTAGGAATTCTAGACCAAAAAGAAATCAACCAATATTATGCAAAAAAAAAAAAAATTACTCAATCAATAAGAAAAGTTAAAATTGCAGTTATGCATTACTAATATTGGTTCTCAAGAAAGTTAGTAGAGGAATTTTCAGATGTATTTTTGTGTTTTGTAATTTTGTATATATTTAATATTTAGTAATAATATATTTGGATATATAATTATAGAGTAATTCTTATATATACTGACGGTGTATATACTATGACGGTTGGATATATGACTCATATATAAAAATTGAGTTTCAAATTTAAATTCGAATTCTATATCATACATTTAATGGTAAAAATGTATAGAAGATTAATCCATAATTATATATAATATCAAAATATAAATATTATATATATAATTATATATAATAGGTAATTAAAGGGTCGGACCTATATCAAATTTGAGATTAATGAGGTCTGAATTCGAATCATATTTAATTCTACCATAATTTTAGATTTTAGATCAGATCGGCTCACTAAATGGTCAAGTTTATCAGGTTTTTTTGAGGTTGAAATTCCCTAGAGATGAGGTTGAAATTTTGACTTACAATTAAAAAAGAGATTTAGTCCCTTTTTGGCTCAATGGTTACTTATTTAACCACTTATTTATTGAGGTTGAAACCCACCTAAAACCCAAAAAGAGATTTAGTTCCTCTTTGACTCAATGGTTACTTATTTAATCACTTATTTGGCTCAGTGGCTCAGAGGTTACCTACAACCCAAAAAGAGATTTAGGTCTCGCTTGATAAAACTGAATCTGAATTCTGAAGTCTGAATTCTAAAATCTGAATACTGAAATAATTAATTTGCTGAATTTTAAACATTGAAAAAATATATGAATGTCTGAATTTTAATACTAAACCTATTTATACTGTTTGATAAATATTTATAGCTGAATACTTAATAAGTTTAATTTGATAATTTTGCCCTTTTATCCTTTCATTCAAAAAAGAAATAGAATCTATGATTTAATTAGTTTAAAATTGTAAGGTATGAAAATGACAATATTTATTTTTAAATCAAATTAATATAAAAGATAAAATATATTATATGAGGAGTATGAAGAACATGTGAAAATCATTAAAAAGGAAGAAAAGAGAAACTATAAAAATCGTTAGATAGAGAATATTAGGTTGTTTAATTAAATAAGAATTTTGAACATAATTAACAAACAAGGGTAGATTTGGTAGATAAGATAAGATAGTTGAAATAATTCTATTGATTCTTATCAGAATTAAGCATTCAGTTAGGATTCTTGTGCTGAAAAAAATACACATAGGTTCAGTACTACTTAACAAGTTCAGAAAATAGATTTTCATAACACTCAAAACATTTGAATGTCTGAAAAAATTCAGATTCATCACTTTTTTATGTTATCAAACATACATATAAGTCCTTTTTTGGCTCAGTGGCTATTTATTGATCAGATTCGGAGGAAACATTTGAATCTCCAAGGGAGAACAGGTCCATTGTTCCAAGGAAAACATAAATAAAAGAGTGGAGAGTGAAGACTGCAGAAGAGGTTTTTCAAACTCTTTATTGAAGTCCAAGAGAAGTCCACTTGCCAAAACCCTTCCCCAAATTCAACGCACCGACGCACCGAAAATTGCAGTGAGTTGTAGTTTCTCTCAGTTTGCTTACTTTGGCTTTATGTTGTTTCAGATCTTCGTAGTTTTCTATTGGATCCTTCGTCGATGATGTTAGCCATTAGTATGTATTGTTTCTGCAACATCTATCGATATTTATTAATATTGTCTAAATTTCGGGGTAGGAATTGCTTTAGATGATTCAGTACGAGTCCTACGTTGACGGGAAAAGTGAATTTTTGCTGCATTCATATTTTACTTGTTGAATTTATGATGAAATAGTTTTCCCCCCTATTTTGCTGTTCTAAATCCCCAAATATAATTTAAGCACGATGTCAAAGCGGTAGCATTAATTTGTGGGATTTTCTGAAAGGTAAAGTGATATGCAATTCTTTGTCTAATTGATTTCTGAAGCCTAGAGGTAACATATTCAACGATGCAATTTCCGGCTGTTGGGTGCCTGTAATTTTCCCTTTTTTAATCAAAAAAATTATTTCTTCTATACGAAGTAGAGCTGGATCCTTGCTTATTACATTAATAGTTTCTGAAATGCATTCTCACCTGATTGTCAGCTGACTTGCATGCAGCTGTTCATTTACCTTTTCAGGTTGCTGATTTTGGTGTCTGATTGTTCAGTTAAAAATAGAATTTTAGCTTGCAAAATTGTTATTCCGTAGAATGGCAATTTCAGTGAGGGATAGAATTGTGAGGCATTTTGCAATATAGGCTGACCACTAATAGTAATGGCGTGTTCTGTTGGCTTTTGAAGACAGATTGTTTGGTTTTGACTATTGGGGGCAAGCTAGTTATTATCAAGATGGAGTCTTTATGGAAGCTTTTCTATTTGCTGGAACCGGCACCTCTCACTCTTATTCTGACTGCCATAGCCGTGACGTATGGATCTGCTTTTCGAGCTCTGAACTATGGAAAAGAAATGGAGCGAAATCGGGATCTGTCTGAAGCATCAATTACTTTAGACAGGTCCCAGGCCTTGATGATCCCGGTCATGAGCTCTTGCAGTTTGCTTTTGATGTTCTATTTATTCTCTTCTGTCTCCCAACTCCTCACTGCATTCACTGCAGTCGCCTCAGCATCAGCCCTGTACTTTTGCCTATCCCCATATGCTGCTCATGTCAAGTCCCAATTTGGTTTGCCTGACCCATTTGTATCTCGGTGTTGTTCGAAGTCGTTTACCCGGATCCAAGGCCTTCTTGTATTGCTATGCTCAGGTGTTGTAGTAGCATGGCTTGTTTCTGGCCACTGGATATTGAACAATTTGCTGGGAATATCCCTTTGTATTGCTTTTGTGAGCCATGTGCGCCTTCCGAACATCAAGATATGTGCAATGCTTCTCATTTGTTTGTTTGTGTATGATATTTTCTGGGTATTCTATTCAGAGAGATTTTTCGGATCAAATGTTATGGTATCAGTAGCAACACAGCAAGCATCTAATCCTGTACATACTGTGGCCAATAGCTTGAGTCTTCCTGGATTACAGTTGATTACCAAGAAGCTAGAATTGCCGGTCAAGATTGTCTTTCCGAGGAATCTATTAGGTGGGGTAGTGCCTGGAAACTCTGCTACTGATTTCATGATGCTTGGCCTTGGTGACATGGTAATTCTTGAGTTTGTTCCATTTATTGTGTTTCTGGATATGTATGTTCTGAACATTACTAGCATCACAAGTTGCTGTCTCTATTTAGAGAAATGAGAAATATTCCAATTCTGCAAGCTTTTTTCATATGATTGTTGTCAGTTTCCTTAACACCCGCACTATCAGGGCTTTCACTTACTTTTTAACTTGTTTGTAAATATTGACTGAATATGTGTAGTTTACATTTGCCATACTCTACAAATGCTCATTTTGAACAGGTTCTGCTATATTGCATTCCACGTGTTTGGTATATGTTTTCATAGTTCCAGTACAGGTTTTATGGGAGTTGTCTGACTACATTAAATTTTCAAAGACTACTTTCACTTATGTTGGAGTTTGTTAGATTTGCTAAAATCCTCGTTGACAAGTAGAGCATGGCATTTTGTGGCACTATTCAGCTTGCAAACATATTACCTGCTACAACTGTCATTTGAAGAATACTAAAGGACTGGGTAGGTGGCAGAATTTGAGTATTCTTAGATTTATGCTATGTGTGTGCCTGAGGCTCTAACATTTCTGATATTGGGTATGCATGCATGATGATGTGTCTATAGAATATGTGTATATTTACCATTCATGTATAGACTTGTTCCATTCTTCAAATGCAATTTTTTTTTTTAAAGTTAACTTTTGGTGAAAAATTAGAAATTCTTCATTGTCTTTCCTTTTTGGCGTAGTGGATTTTATGCTGGCATTGCTGTCTTTCTATGTTGAATAACAAACTGAGCTCATGCCATTGTATTGGCTTTTGCAGGCTATTCCTTCAATGCTTTTGGCATTAGTTCTTTGTTTTGATTACAGAAAAAACAGGGATTTGTCAAATTCCTTGGATTCGTCAAAGGGGTGTAAATATATTTGGTATGCCCTTTCTGGATATTCAGTTGGACTTGTTACTGCCTTGGCAGCTGGAATTTTAACGCACTCACCACAACCAGCACTTTTGTATCTGGTAAGTTCCGTGCTGTAAAATCCATTATGCTCTTCTGAATTCGAACCAAAATATTTTGATTATTCTCTGTGGAACCCTTTAGCTTCTGCAGCTTCTTCTTTTCCATTTTCTTTGCCTTTTCACATAGTTTCTGCATAATTTGTGAGTGAAGGGAGTTGAGTTTAGCACAGTATCAGATACCTGATATACAAAAGTACCAGAAGATTTTGTTCCTGGTGCTGTCAGATGTTGGATTGGTACCTCTTCGTTTCTTTTTCTTTGGGGTTCTGTCTTTGGTTTTTTGCTTTTTGGGCTTTTTTTGGGAGAGGAGGGGAAAAGAGAAAAAAAAAGGGGGGGGGGGGGAAGGTGTGTTTTGGACTCAACAAAATTTCGACGAAAGTTGTGTTTTGAACTTCATTTTCTGAGACTAATTTCTGGTGGTTATTGTATACACAGGTACCATCTACATTGGGTCCCATAATTGTCATGTCTTGGGTGAGAGAGGAGTTTGCCGAACTGTGGGATGGATCAACTCTAAACATTAATGAGAAGATGCATACACCGGAACCATGAGCAATCACGCGATCATCATTGTGAAGCCAGCGACGCTTGTAAATTCACTTGGGAGTTGGGATGGACATTCATCGGATTCCAAGTTGTGTGACGTCTAAAGCGGTGCTGGTTCCGCCTCAATTTGCCGTGAATACCTCGTCGGGGGGCCAAATACAACAAGGAGAATGGGGAATTGTAATCCTACATTTGGGTTTAGGATTGGTTCTGTAGTTTTAATTTGGAATTGCCTAACCAAACGATTATCAGAACAACAAAAATTGAATATGGAGAAATTTAAAGGGACCAGTTAAAGTTGGTACCGTATTTGCTGTTTTGAGTTTGGAATGAAGCCTAAATGCTTTGTGATAGGGAATAAAAATAGAACGAGGGTTGCCGTGTGCATGCAGAGTAGAAAGGGCACATCATATATTTTATCAAAATGTATGTAAATTTTTCAAAATTTGTACCTCTTCGTGAATAACAGAACTTCCTATTCCTATTGCGCAAATTTTCCCATTGACGCCTATGATACAAAATTTACACATACTGGGACATAAAACCAAAATGATACGATTGGCAGCATTTTCTTTCTGTCCCGAACTTTTTATTCTAACGAGTTAATATCAAAGGAAATTTCTGGCGTCCTATTTTTCTTTAATTTAATTGACCTATTTTTAGCATAATTCTAGCTTCCGTATGACTACCCAACAACAAATTTTTTTTTTTCTGGCATCATATCTTTCATAATTTATTTAAATATAAAGAAAATGAAGAAGAACTTCTAGTCCCATTATGCTCTAGCCTTGAAAAGAAAAATTTCTTTAGACCGTTATTTTTTTTAAGAAATAGCGATGATGCTAGATAAGGCAAATGGTATTTGCATTCTAAAATAATCCTGAGACATTTCACCTTCTTTGTTACTGAGAAATTTGATGAAAGATTTAAATTTAACCTAAATCTCCCTAATTTTTTGAATTATTTAAGAGACATTTGAATTTATAATTCATCAATTAGCACAATATATTTTAAATATTATAATAATTTTTAATTTATAAATTTAAAATATCTCATAAATAATCTCTTATAAATAAATAGAAGGACTTGATAGAATTTCAAACTTTTATTCAAATCCCTCAAACACACAGCAGCCTAAGTAAAAGGTCATGGAGTAGAATGTAGTGTTCAAAAACAATTTTTAACTTTTAAGTGCGAATATCATTTGCCCTGTATGAAAGGCAAAATCGAGTCCAACACCAGAATAAATAGCAAAATGACATATTATCGATCGACTAGTCTATACCAAAAGAAAATTTTTTTAAAAATAGAAAACGAAGAATACCCTACACGTCGTCGCATCAGTGCGTTTTGACTTATGAGCCGCTGCCACCGCCTCCGCCACCTCTTGAAGGTCTGCTTTTCCTACTCCTAATAAGACTGCTCGTTGACGCCACGGAACAGGGGAAGAAAAAGGTGGAGAGTAACAGAACTGCAGGAGGAGGAGGGAGGAGAAGGAGATGGGAACGTCGGTGCAGGTGAAGCCACTTTGCGGAGTCTACAATGAAAACCCCCTCGCCTACTTGGTCTCCGTCGACGGCTTTAACTTCCTCGTCGACTGCGGTTGGAACGACCACTTTGATACCTCTCTTCTGGAGCCCCTCTCCAGGTCCCACCACCCCACCCCCTTTCTATCTCCGTAATGTGTACCATTTTAAGTTTCTACTAAAGCGCGCACTTACATGGTAACTATCTGACACTTCATTTTCTTAGCGGTTGTTCTTGCAATGCTCCTGTATTAGCACCGTTGATTTTTGGTTTCAATTGGCTACGGAGTCATCTTGTAGTGGTTGGGCACCAGCGTAAACTATTACCTTAATTTTGTACTCATCTTAAGGCCATTTGAAGACTATGCAAGTAACACAATCAATTACGCCTGCTGCTAGGGCCTAACTTGCCTTTGTCGATTTTATGAGGTTGTACTTGTGCTTAATAGGTATAATGTCCAGATTAGGGAGAAATATGTCAAGAAGGTTAAATGTGCTTTAGATGCAGGTGCCTAGGCAAGTCGAACAATATGGCCTAGAATCCTAAACCCTAAACCCTAGTCATTCACCGGGGAAATAAGTAAAATCTATTTGGCATGCATATTCTGTAATGTGGGTTGCCTGAACCTCCATGATATATAGGTGGTCTTATGTTTGACTCAGGGGAACCCAATGGCTAGGTCCTTTTAGTTGCTACAAGATTTCACCTACTGTGCTGTTCAAAATTCCGATCAGTTATGTTGTTTTTTTATTTTACGCCTTTCAACATCTGGCCAATGCTAATGATTGCAATGTTATTCTCATCTTCTTGAGTTGCATACTAAAAAGGCTCTATTTAGCATTCAGGGTGGCTCCAACAGTGGATGCTGTCTTGCTTTCACACTCAGATACTCTTCATCTTGGTGCTTTGCCTTATGCCATGAAGAAACTTGGACTCTCTGCTCCTGTTTTTGCAACGGAACCTGTGTACAGATTAGGCCTATTGACCATGTACGATCAGTATCTCTCACGCAAGGTGAAATTTGGCTCTAGCATCTCAGATTTCCATTAGGAGTCTCTGACTTCCTCAGGCAGTTAGTTGTAGTTGAAATAATTTAACTTAACAAAGTATGCAATATGCATAATTGCCATTACCGGGTTCAAGTGAAGGAGACTTTCTTTAATTTTTTTTTCTTAAGAAGTTGATGTTTTTGCCTTACATTATTCTGGTATCAGGATCCCAGTTCTTCTGGATCCTGATCCACTTGATGACTACTAATCAAAACCTGATAATTTCCTCTCAATGCTACCCCTCGCCCACTCTTTTCTTCTTGCGCAAAAGGTCTGTCAGAGCCCTTTTATTTTAGGTTATCTAATTTTTAAACCTGCTATAGTTTGTTATAGATCCACTTAGAGCATCTAGACCCCTTCTCTTGTTTTTTTTCCTCTCTGTATAGTGTAAAAGAGGATCATCCATAGGACAGAGTAAAACTGTTTCCATAAAGCCTCTGGTTCTGATATTATCTTGAAATAGGGAACTTTAGCTCGATGAACTATCAAATATTCTCATGTGCCATGTAAGATCCTTGAGCTTTTGCCTTTTGAGTATGCATGTTGCTAGTTTTCTGATAAGCTTTCCTCTGTTAATAGTCATAAACTGTTGCTACTACTTTTTTGGCCTTCACAGTACCCTTTCAAATATAAAAAGGAAACTCGAGGGAAGTCTCATCTCATACTTTTCTGAACTATGACCAGTGTCATTGTGGTTTTACATTCAAGGATTCTGTTATTTTCATCAATTATCTACTAACTGTGGCCTTTACAATCATTGCTTATCTAATCAAAGTTATGCCTTTTGCAGCAAGTATCCGAGTTTGACTTGTTTACATTGGATGATATCGATTCTGCTTTCCAGAACATTACTAGATTAACCTATTCTCAAAACTATCATATTTCTGGTAGGTTATTTTCTCTCATTTTAATCTGATCTTCATGAACTGAGGTGCTGGCATCATGTTTGTTCGTTATCGTCTGGATTCTATATTTACTTTCACTCTTCTGGTCTGGCCAATCATACTTTTTTTTTTGAAGTCTTGAAAGTAGAAAAGAGAGATCCTATAAGATAAGTTTTGGTATTTGTTATGTCTAAAGATGGATTTGAAGAGCAGCTAACTCATGGTGGTTTTGCATGTTGCATTTCTCTTTAATGTTTAGTTGGTTTGAGTTGATGCATCTGGCTTGGTACAAGTGAAACCCTGCTGCTCATCTAAATTGACAATAAGATGATAAAATGTTGTCAACATCTTCAGATGTGTTTATGAATACTGACTAGACTTTATGGGAATTTTTTGGTGTTAGACATGACTTAGAAAATAGTATATCATCAATAATTCTATTTTCTGTTCTGCTTCTGATTTTCTAAAATCTGATAACCTACATAGGGAAGGGAGAAGGAATAGTTATTGCTCCCCATGTAGCTGGTCATCTATTAGGTGGTACAGTTTGGAAGATTACAAAGGATGGGGAAGATGTTATCTATGCTGTTGACTTCAATCATCGTAAAGAGAGGTTATGTACTGTGAATTACTACATATTTGAAGTGTTTTGTAAAACAGTTACGATCCTCTATGTGGGTTTGGAAACGCTTATGTAATGTTTTTTAATTTTTTTATCAGGCATTTGAATGGAACTGTCTTGGAGTCATTTGTTCGTCCAGCAGTCTTAATTACAGATGCCTATAATGCCTTGAACAACCAGCCATCAAGACGTCAAAGAGACCAAGAATTTCTGGGTAACAATCTCTCTCTTTATATATATATATATATATATAAATTATTAGTCTAATTACTACTGATTTTCCACCTTTTCATTACAAAACGTTCAAGCAGCACCCACATGCATATTTAGTCAGTACGATGAAAAATTTATTGCCTATTATGTTGCTCTTTTATCTCTCTATTTTCTTTAGATGCCATTATGAAGACCCTAAGAGCAGATGGAAATGTATTATTACCGGTGGATACTGCTGGTCGAGTATTGGAGCTGATACTAATATTGGAACAGGCTAGTTGGTGTAGAGTTTGAAGTTTGTTCATCCTTAATCTATTTGTAATGATTCTGAATCTTGATATTTTGGCACCAAATGCAGTTCTGGGAACAGCATAAATTGGCCTATCCGATATTCTTCCTCACGTATGTGTCATCTAGCACAATTGATTATGTAAAAAGTTTTCTTGAATGGATGAGTGATTCAATAGCGAAGTCTTTTGAGCACACACGTGACAATGCTTTTCTTTTGAGGTATGATATCTTACTCTCCATTTTTTTTGATCTCTTTATAAGGCACATCATAACTGTTGTAGCTAAAGTTTTCTGTGAAAAATACTGCTGACCAAATTTTCATGTAGTTTTTCCTTCTATACCTATGGAACTGCAGAACTTCGGATTATATTTTGCCACAAATACCTTTCTGCTGTTGTCTCTTTTCGCTGTTCTATAGTGCAATAGTGCTTTACAATATGCTTTTTTGCTGTTCTTTAGTGCACTAGTGCTCGACAATATTCTTTTTTGTTGATAAATTGCCAATGTTTTCTTTTTTAAAATGGTTTAGACTTTCTCATGTGCTTGTACATGTCTGTTCTATCTGTGACCTGCAGGCATGTCAAACTTTTAATCAACAAGAGTGATCTTGAAAGTGTTCCAGATGGCCCAAAGGTCTGCATCCCTGTTTGCTTATCAAAAAACCACCTTGACTTCTTGATCAAGTATTTTAAATAATACGTTGTTTGAGAGTTTCTCTGATTTAGGTTGTTCTAGCATCCATGGGCAGTCTAGAAGCTGGTTTTTCACACGATATTTTTGTTGAATGGGTTTCTGATACCAAGAATCTTATACTTTTTTCCGAAAGAGGCCAGGTATGTTCTGAGCCTTTTGCCTCACACTGTTTCTATTTTTGCATAGTTGATGTTAGTGATGGCATCGT